TTTTGGTAATTGAATTCTACAAAGAACTGAAAATACTTCAACTCTGAATGTTTGCTTCTAGTCACATGTCGTGTAGGATGCCATCTTGTTCAACTCGCGTATTAACTAATAATTCAACATTTGCATGCTTCAAAGTCCTATGGTTTAACATCATCTCCATCTTTAGTAAATCAATAATCTGTTCAGTTGCATTCGCTTGCTACAAATTAAAAGAGGCATCCTCTTTAGATAAAATGTCCACATGTATACAAATGTACATGTATATAGGGGAAAATCAAAATACCCTACGAGTTTGAGCAATGGAGACACCAGTCATGTTAAATCACATTCAACTCGTGTATGAACTAATAAATAATAAACATCTGTAGTTCACATGCTTGAGGGTTACCGGTATTTCAGTTCCATTAGGGTATATTTAGTAATAGTATAACCTGGTGCCTTGAGTGGCATATATTAAGCGAACAAGAACAGGCAAACACAAGCAATAACTGAATGCTATCGCACAACTAAGCAATATACAATGTAGTTCCATGGACAGTAAAAAAAATGTGTTTGACATGTAGTTATGCATTGTAGGGATTACACATCCATGTCGGCAATATTTTCTGAGTAGACACACATACATGTACACAATATAAGCATGGTAATACACTACACGTCGCAATACACTACAAGTGCACACCAAATCCAATTTGTAGCTTATAAGAAGCCATTTGTTCCATGGTCATGGTTTGGATAACAGAAATAGCATGCTGTCTTTATTGCCCTGAATCATGGCATTATTTTATTATTCGTTATTTTTTTTTTAAATGTAAAGAAATATAACATTGTGTTACAAAAGGTGAGCGTAGAATAATATTTGAAGAAGAATAATGATATTTTTTCTTATAGTAAAGAGATAAAAATGCAGAGAAATGTCAAAAAAGATTCTAAAATTTCGTAGGTGTCAGAACCTATTAGCATCTCAACATAGGATTGTTGGAATATAGAGATGTCGGGACATAGGGGTGACGGAATATAGGGATGTCGGAACATAGGAGTGTCGGAATATAGGGATGTCGGAACATAGGGGTGTCGGAATACAGGTGTGTAGCCGTTTTTATTGGCAACCGAACTATTTTTATTTTGTAAACAAATTTTCGCCTGCTAATTTATTCAGTTCAAATCGTTCAGCAACATATTTGGCATAGCAGGTGTACATCACATGGAATACTACGATTGTGAGAACTTGATGTATGTTGACTGAGTTTTATAAACCTTTAATGGAAGATCCACTCGCAGTAAAATTAGCGATTACCATCGAGGCACGACCACAAAACATCAAAGTATCAGGGGGTTTCTGCTGGCGACGTTGCGACATTACCCAGTTCCAAATAAAGATTACCAACGCCAAATGAGCAACATTTTAACTGGTAATAAAGATTCATTTAATCCACTGCTAACAAGCAACATCACAAGCAAAATTGTAGGATGCAGCTCAGTAACGACCGCTGTCGGCGCAAGTCATCCCCTCAGTGGAGTACTGCAGTAGCACGGCATGTTTGCCTTCACCATTGTATTCAAACGATTCATGTGGTGTGCCGTTCTCCTTCAAACCCGTGATTCGATCAATAGGGGAGTTTCAGTAAAAGAAAACCATCGCAAATCATGCAAATTCAACATTTTCAAACCAGTATACTAAAACAGAAATGTTCAGCAATACAAAAGAAGGATAGATATTACTTTTCACTATACACATCTCTGTTGATACTGTCCTTCACATATTCTACTCCCAATTACTCCTGCATAAAATAGACTAGCCTCTTTTCATGTTGACATTCAGAGTAAAATCATGTGATTGATTTATTCTGCAGATATAGGTAAAATATAGGTTAGGCTTTGGCGAAATTTGAAAGAGCAAATAATATTTTTCAACCTGGTATTTTTGATAGATTTTATTCTTCATTCTGTTCGTCTGTTTTTTTCCAGTTAAACAATATGAGCTG